AGACGCCTCACAGAGACCGTAGACTGGCCGTCTGAGGCTCCACTGGGTACCTGCAGGAAACGACTCAGTGAAGCCAGGTGGGTGGCGCAGCCAGATCTCCTCGTGCAGGCTGCCCTGTAAGAAAGCTGTGTTGAAGTCAAGAGAGAGCAACTCTTAGTCACTCTGAGCGGCGACGTGCAGCAGCACACGAAGAGTGGTCATCTTCGGGGTAGGGGAGAAGGTCTGGAAGGTCAACTCCCTGACGCTGACTAAAGCCTCGTGCAACGTAACGAGCCTTGAAGGCAGGCGGAGAACCCGGCGGCCGCCTCACCCTGAAAATCCATATGCCATCGACTATGTTCTCCCCAGAAGGGAGAACTGTGTCGACGTAGGTGCCTGTGGACTTCCAGGATGCCATCTCTGCATCCATGGCTGTCTGCCACTAAGAGGAGTAGGGACCCGCAATCCCCTCTACGTAAGAGCGCGGGGTCGGGATGTCTGGTGCATCCGGGTCTCCCTCATGTGCAAGCAGCATGGCCACGAGATGAGGTACAGCAGCTGCAAGACACTCAAATTCTTCCTGCCTGTCCTCAAGGACGTTCGTGCTAAGAGCACACTCACCCCCGATGGACGGAGGACAGTAAGACTCAGACTCAGCAACAAGAATAGAGGCGTAGTCGAGACGACAGGCGGCGCAGCAAAGTGAACAAGCTGAGCAACTAGGGTAGACGGAGAAGCGGACTCAAACGAAGGGTCAGTGAAAAATGTGGCTAGAAGATGTGTGACAGTAGGACTGGCAGCACGAACTAAGTCAGACTTAGGGTCCGGACCGTCAGCAAGAGAGGACGCAGGAGGAGACGGCAGGGGAACTCGCAGTGGAACAGAGGAAGGACGAAGTGCCATAATGTGAGTGCCGGGGACAGGAGGAGGACGCGGACGAGGAACACGACGACCAGTGCGAACAGCGCAAACAGGCGAGGCAGGACGAGACTTAGGCTCACGACGCTCTGTCAGAGAGTCTGTCTGCTTAGTGTAAGGAGAAGGAGCAGACAGTGGGGAGTCTGGCTGTAACTGTGGCTGCAACTGGTGAGGCGGTGGACACAGCAAGCTAGGTGTAAAGCCAGCAGAAGACGGGAGACTAATAACCTGGCAAAGGACCGAGTCAGGTGGCGGCAGAGACGACCGTGGCGGCGGAACGAAAAACGGTCACCGCTGCACAGTGCCTCCAGCACCAGTACCGCCAGCTCTAGCACCCCCAGCGCCAGCACCTCCAGCTCCAGCGCCTCTAGCTCCAGCGCCTCTAGCTCCAGGGTCTACAGCTCCAGTGCCTCCAGCTCCAGCGCCTTCAGCTCCAGCGCCTCCAACTCCAACGTCTCCAACTCCAGGGTCTCGAGCTCCAGCTCCTCCAGCTCCAGGGTCTCCAACGCGAGTGCCTCCAGCTCCAGGGTCTCCAGCTCCAGTGCCTCCAGCTCCAGTGCCTCCAACACCACCAGCTCCGGCAGCTTTAGTACCTGTAGTACGAGCACCTCCAGGACAAGCAGCTCTAGCACCTCCGGGACCCCCAGCTCCAGCAGTAACTCCAGCACCTCCAGGACTAGTAGCTCCACACCTCCAGCTCCAGTGCCTCCAGCGGCAAGGCCTCCAGCTCCAGGGTCTCCATCTCCAGCTCCTCCAGCTCCAGCGCCTCCAGCGCCAGTGCCTCCAGCTCCAGCAGTAACTCCAGCACCTCCAGGACTAGTAGCTCCAGCACCTCCAGCTCCAGTGCCTCCAGCGGCAGGGCCTCCAGCTCCTGCAGCGCCACTCCTAAGGCGTGTGCGCTGAGCAAACCACTCGCGCAGCTGCTGCGGTGAGAGAGGCTCTTTCCGGAGAGATGGTCGTAGCGAGGCACCCGCATGACCTCCGACAGACGCAGTACCCCTAGGCTCAGCACCCTTAGACTCCGCACCCTCAGATTCAGCACCCCTAGGCTCCGCACCCTAAGGCTCAGCACCCCCAGGCTCCGTACCCTCAGGCTCAGCACCCCCATACTCCGCACCCTCAGACTCAGCACCCCCATGCTCTGCACCCTCAGGCTCAGCACCCCCAGGCTCCGCACTCGCAGGCTCAGCAACCCTAGGCTCCGCACTCGCAGGCCAAGCAACCCCAGACGCAGCACCCCTAGCAGCACCTGAGTCTACAGTGACCTCCACAGGCTCAGCCAGGGGGAGCGGGTCTACCTGAGACACACTTGAGGGAGCAGGATCCTGAGGGGGGAGGGGGTCTACCGGATGGGGACCTGGAGCGAGGAAGAGCGGCGGGTGGGGGGAGAGGGGCAATGCGGTAGGGGAAGAGATGGTAAAAGGGATCCGACTTGTCAAACGTGACGTCCTGAGAGGGCAGGACACGGCGCGAAGTGGGGTGGTAAAACTGCCAGCCAGGCGCGTTAGGGGGAAAGCCAAGGAAGACGCAGGGAATGGCGCGGGAGGAGAGCTTGTCCGCGGAAGTATCGCGGACAAAGGCACGAGAGCCCCAGACCCGGAACACCGACGCATCGCCAACCTTCCCCGTCCAACGCAGTGTAGGCGAGGTCTCCAGCAAGGAGACACGGGGCCAGAGTTTGAGCTGATACGCAGCGTACCGGACCGCAAACGGCCACAGAAAATGGGGAGCAGCCGCATGGATCATGGAGGTACGAGCTACCGTGCCAAAGGAGAGTCTGGTGCGACAAGAGGCGACATGAGCAGGGGGTTGCTACCGGACCTGGCGCGGACACCTGACCAGACGCAGCTACCTGAGGAGGCTCAGTAGTCAGTGTGTATAGACTCTACCCAGGCCGACGGGTGAACATGGCCAGGTGACGGCCCGTCTGTGTACACGTGCAGATCGACACACGCTGACCCCCAGGAGTGGTGGTAGTGACCATCGCATCCTGGAGGGCAGCGGTACTCACCAAGTTCGTAGAGAACGAGGGGAGGTGAAGACCTGAGAGTGAGCTGGACGGAACCGCCGGACACGGGAGAATAGTGGAGGAACGTGAAAGAACTGGGCCCCCTCAGCGGTCAGCCAGTCTGACTAGAACAGGTGCATGGAGTGGAGTGAGTGTGGTACTGTCGCGAAAGAAACAGCGGGAAGCACCTGAGTCAGGTGTGAAGGTGTGCAAAGACTCAGCAGGCGCTGTACCAGGGAGATCAGACTCACTAGCACCTAGTGCAGCAGCCTCTATACCTGGGTCGAGCGGCACACAGAGGTAACAGTCACCCTCAGACGCCCCAGACGCCCCACGCTGAGCAAACCACTCACGAAGCTGCTGGGGTGTAGGGGTCTCGCTCAGACGCTGCTGCTGGTGCCTCTGGCCACCGCCATAACCTCCCCTCTTAACAGCTCTACCCCGGCCGCCACCACTGCCGGCGCCACCTCTCCCACTGCCGCCACCACCGCCACCACCACTCCCACCTCTGCCACCACTCACGCCACCGACGCCACCGACGCCCCCACTCCCGCCACCACTCCCACCGTCACCTCCGCCACCTCCACCGCCTCCACCACCAAAGCCCCCGCTGCCACCTCCACCACTCTTCCCTCCCTTGCCCTTGCCGCTGCGGGGCTTTCCACTAGGAGCAGAAGCAGCCCCGACGGCAGTGGCAGGGGAAGAGTAACGGGCGACTACAGCGTCGTACGGGGCTTTAGCAGTCTTGTGATGGCCAAAGTGAGCGCATTCGGCTAACGGCAGGTGGTTGCGAACGGCTAAGCGAGCAGCAGCGTCACGGGTAAGCCAATGTGAGCGAGTCGCACTGTCAGCTGTGGCGGGAGGGGCGAGAGAGGCTCCAGACGTGTGGTCAAACAACGAAACGCTGTCTCTATAATCGCTCGGTAGGTACAGCTGTAAGTCAGTACTGTTTTAGGCTTTGTGCCTACTTTGCCTCACTTGCTCACTGCGTGACTTTGCTTGTATTGTGATCTATATGTATACCTGCATGCTTACTCTTGCTAGGGTATGATCACTGTACTGTTTGTTTTCTTTTTTATAACTCAGCATGTAAACTGGCATTGTGGCCATTTGCTTGTGCTCAGAATGTGTGGTGACTTCGTGATCCACCCTGAGCTTGCTTTGCTTTTCTTGACTGGTCTTGTGACCACTTGTTCTCCCCCACTTTGCCTATGGGGGTGTGTCAAAATGTTTTAGTGCTTACATTTGTGTAGGCTATAGTGGGGTAACCCATAAGGGGTACAACCCAATTAGGGTTAGTACTTGTACCAACTTTCTACTCAATGCATCCAATGACATTATGTACCTGAACAGAGTTCCAATGCTAAGCCCAAGCCTAGAGTTCCAATGCTAAGCCCAAGCCTTGATGCAAGCACTGTACTAATGTGATATTTCATGCAACATGGTTATCACTTGTGGGTATTCAATGTTTGTTCATGCCTGCCTGACTCCACTCACACTGCTATTCTTCCATTGCCCCGTTCAATGAATAGCACCACACAGTACCCAAACTAGACCCATGCATTGCTATCATTGTACACACAAGCAATATTCTCTTATAGCATGCAATTGTTACCATAAATACTACCGGTAGGTCCAATTGAATTGAACACCATTGAACTACCACTGCGACTACAACAAACCGAATAGACTTGATAGATGGTCCAATAACAGTTCCACGGTCCACCGATCCCTCTCACCAATTCTGTCTTTTCCCCCTTGCCACCTCAATGCATTCCGCACTCCCTCCATCCATCCCTATCTTCATCCCCATTCCCACCCACAAGGCGAATGGCACCACCCCAGAAGAAGAAGGGCCCCCCTTCCCAACCCGATATTCCTCCTCATCTGCACTACTGGCACGGATGGACTCGCCATAATCAAGCATGCGAGGCAGGCCAGCTTGTGAGACATCTCCATTTTGACAACTCTCAAAGGTGATTCCTCCTTCCAGCATACAAAACTCCCAAAAAAAATCCGCCCGCAGCGGGCGTACCTTTCCTCCGTCCTCCTCCTCCTCCTCCTCCTCCTCCTCCTCCTCTCGTGCAGGCAGGCGTTACTTCTTGCCGTTGCGCCACTCGGTGATCATGGCACGGATGGCATGGTTGGGCATGACGTCGGTGTTGGGAAGGGGCTCATGCGTCATGGGCGACGTGCTGTTGCCCTCCGCCAGCCACTTGGCGATCGCTGCCCGCTCGTACGTGTGCCCGTCCGCTGCCAGCACTGGATCCTGCATCACCTCCTGCAGGCAGGAGGAGGAGAGGGAGGGAGGGGGGAAGGGAGAGGGGAAGGGGGGAAGGGAGAGGGGAAGAGGTCTGTGAACGACCGTTTGTGTTCCCATCCACTGCCAGCACTGGATCCTGCATCACCTCCTGTTGGATAGAGGGACGGGGAAAGTGCAGGGGTTTCGAAGCAGGGAACGGGAGTAGAGGGGGAAGTGAAGGGAGGAACGCTCGTACGTGTGCCCATCCGCTGCCAACACTGGATCCTGCATCACCTCCTGCGAGGTTGAAGGGAGGAGGGGAAGGGAGTGGGGAGGAGGGGAGAGAGAGAGCGTGGGGGAAGGGAGAGTTAAGAGGGAGGTGAACGGCTGTACGAGTGCCCGTCTGCTGCCACCACTGGTTCCTGCACCTGCATCAACCTCCTAGAGGTGGTAGGGACAGGGAAATCGAGGGAAAGGGAAAAGGAAGCAGGGAGATTAGAGTAGACGGGAGGAAGAGAGGGAAGCGGCAAGTGAAGAGAGGCAGGCTTGAATGTGTGGCCGTGCGCTGCCAGCATTGGGACCTGCATCACCTCCTGGAGCAAGGAGGCGATGGAACAAGGAGGGGGGGAGATGGGAAGAGAGGGGAAAAGGGGGGGAGGAGGGGACAAGAGAAAAACGGTGAGCGAAAGGGCATCACCCCTCCCCACAGCCAGCATCCAAAAAACCCTCGACATGTTTCCAGCACCAGCCAAGCCCCACCTTCCTTCCCTTCCAAATTCCAATCCAAATCCCTCATGCTCCCTCCCTTCCCATCCCCCTCAAACCCCCCACCCTTCTGCCCCAACCACCACCCCTACCTTAGTCAAGGGGCAGAAGAAGCAACTCGCTGCCTTGTTCGGGCTGGGCAGGTTAGCAGTGCGCCAGGCATTCCCCTCCATCTCCTCCTCCACGCGCGCAGCCACTTCTCTCGCCTTCTCCAGCACCGGCATGACCACCTTGGCGAGATCCGGCCGGCTCCGCCTGCGCATCTCAGAGCATTTCAGCGCCATCTTCGCGAGCTCCATGGCGAGAGGCACCGGCCAGTCGCCCGCGGATTTATCCAGGAGAGCTGCGAGAGCCTCCTCGTCGTCGTCGTCTACCGCGTCTTCGAGCCCTTCGAACGCGTTCGGACGGAGGCCGGTTAGGAGGTCCAGGAGGACAATTCCGAGTGCATAGACATCGGACTTCGGGCCGTATTCCCCTGTGCGTTGGAACTCCGGGTCCATGTAGGCGAAGGTCCCGACGGCGACGGATTCCCTCGCGTATGTCCGCATGACCGCGTTGCCGTTCCCTGAGGAGTCGTCTCCGGCGGGCATGAGCCGGGCGAGACCCACGTCTGCGAGCTTCGCCACGAGGTTCTTATCTAAGAGGATATTCGCGGGCTTGAGGTCCCGGTGGACTATGGGCACGGGGCGGTTGTGGAGGACGAGGAGTGCTGAGGCTACCTCTGCTGCAATGCGCAGGCGGGAGTGCCAGAGGAGGGGCGCGGTGCCCTTGGTGCAGCGGAGGCGCTCGTCGAGGCTGCCGCCTGCCATGTACTCGTAGACGAGGCAGAAGTGGGAAGAGCAGCAGGCGAGCAACATGACCACGTGCGGGTGCTGTATCTGACTCAGCACCGCCACCTGTGGGGGAGGGGAGGGGGGGAGAGAAACCGGGGCAGAAAATGACTCAGTAACGCGATGGTGGGCACCCCAGCAACATGACCACGTGCGGGGGCTGGATCTGACTCAGCACCGCCACCTGTGGGGGAGGAGGAGGGGAGAGGGGAAGTGGGGATCGGTTAAGGGAAAGGGGAGAAGGGGGAGGGGTTGAGGAGGAATGGTGGAGGGCTTGGGGTTTGGGTGAGAAGCGCCTACAGGAACGGAAGAGGTGTTGTTGGAATGGGAAGCATGAGGGGGAATGGCGAGACGTGGGAGGGCATGCAAGGGAGAAACGGGGAAAGCGGATCAACGAGCAAGGCACAGGGCGGGGAACTGCAGAACATGTTGAATTGAAGCCACAGCATTGCATTGCAGGGGAGGGCAGGACAGGGCAGGACAGGGCATTGCACTAGGGGGCACAGGCGGCAGCGGCGGCGGGTGACCTCACCTCTTGGCGGAACTCGGTCTTTGCCTTTTGGTGGTCGCGGCTCTTGAGCACCTTGACTGCCACGGCCGTGTGGTGCAGCGTGCCCAGATACACTGTGCCAAACCCGCCCTCTCCTATCTTGCGCTGCTCACTGAATCCCTCTGTGCATGCCTGCTCCACAGTGGAGAGGGGGTGGGGAGCAGGGAGCAGAGAGTAGAGAGGAGTAGGGGATGACAAGAGAGGGGAAACAGAGGGTGTGACGCGAGGTACACAACCAGTTGGAAAAAAAAAAAAAAAAAAAAAAAAAAAAACCCAACAACAACAAGAAAATAAGAAAAGGGAAAAGGAAAATACGGAGAGTGAGTTGACTTGTGAGTTACAGAATGCGCAGAACATATTCCGCGTCGAACCATTCATCGCAACAAACAAAAATTCCCTCACCATCTCCCTCTCTCCTTCTCTTCTCCCTTCCACTCCCACCCCCTGACCCCTCCTCACCTTCATCTCTTCCCACGTGTGCTCCACAAACGGCCCTTCCTGCACCACAGCCCCCTCCTCACTCTCTCCCTCCCCCTCCTTTCCCTCCACACCCTCCCCTCCCACTCCTGCACCCGCACCCGCACCCCCCGCTCCACCTCCCCCGCCGCCCTTCCCATTGCTCCCACTGCTCCCAGCAGAGCCCCCCCCAGAACCAGAAGCGCCATTCAGCACTCTCATCTCCGCCTCTTTCCGCCGCTTCGCCTGCACCTCCAACTCCGCGACCTTAGCCGCAGCCTCCTTCCTCGCCGCGTCCTTCCTTTGAAGCTCCGCCTCTGTAGCGCGCCGCGCCTCCTCCGCTGCAGCCTGCGCCGTGAGGGCCTCTAGAGCCGCTTGCTCCACGCGTGCGGCGGTTTCGAGCTCCTTCTGCCGCTGCGCCACCTCCACTTGCCGCACGGACGACTGCGCTTCCAGCATCAGGCGCTGTGCTCTCAGCTCTGCCTCCGCTTGGGCTGCTTCCGCTTCGGCCGCACGCAGGCGCATGCGTTCTAGCTCCTTGCGCAGGTCGTCCTGGAAGGAGGTCAGGTGGAGGGGGATAGAGGGTGAGGAATGGCAGGTTGAGGCGACTCAAAACTGTGCACAGGCGCATGCGATCTACCTCCCTTTGCAGGCCGTCCTGGAAAGGGACGGGAAGGAGAGTGGGAGGTGAAGGGAGTGAGTTTTGAGGAAGAGGAGAATGGGACGATGAGGACAGGGGAGAAGACAAGGAACAGGATTCGAAGCGAGCTTAAGAAGGCATTAAATAACCCCCTTTTAGTGGAATCTGAAATGGTCCCACATTCCTGTGGATTCACCAAGCAAGCCCAGCGCAGCACTCACACTAGCCTCATCGCCAGACACGCCAGAGCCTAGGGAATTCATGGACGTGAGCACCGGCGGCGCCTGCCCCTTCCACTGCTGCTGCTGCTGCTGCTGCTGCATGGCCATCAGCAAGCTACCACCAGCGCCGCCAGCAGCCATACGCCTGTGGGCATCCAGAATATACTCCTGCTGCTGCACGTACGAGGCCATGGGGTTGCCCCGCCTCCACGCCACAAAATCCTCAAGCGCCTCCCCCTGCAATCCCGCCGCTAGCCCCACTGCCACTGCGTCCTGTGCTCCCACTTGCCCCTGCATCCCCCCTCCTCCCTGCCCCTGCCCTTGCCCCTGCTGCTGCAGATTCCCCTGCTGGAAACTCCCCCCGGCGGTGCCACCGCCAGGGGCGCCCCCGGGGCGGTTCCAGCTGGGGGAGGAGGCGGAGGAGGTGGGGGAGGAGTCAGATGAGCCGGCGCGAGGGAAGCGGCGCCCGGAGAGGAGGAGATTGGTGGATCCACTGGTGCTGGGGGAACCAGATGAGCTCATCCCCACTGCCCCACCCCCACCCATGCCTGCACCTGCACCCATGCCTGCACTGCCCATGCCTGCACTGCCCATGCCTGCACTGCCCATGCCTGCACCTGCACCCATGCCTGCACTGCCCATGCCTGCACCGCCCCCCATCCCAGGCTGAGACCCATAGACCGGGAGCATGGTGCCGCTGCCGTTGGCGCCCATGGGGAATCCCCCCCCTCCGCCTCCCCCTCCCCCCATGGCGCGCTCATTCATGGATCCGCGCGGGCCCAGCCCTGAGGGGCGCAGGGGGGCGCCGGGGTCGAGCGGGGGAGGGGGCATGGCGGAGCGCGAGGGGGAGGCGCGCGCGTCTGAGGCGTAGGGCGGGCGGGAGGCGTTGAAGGCGTGCGCAGGGGAGGTGCGGAGCGGGTCCAAGGCTGATGTGGGGAGGGTTGGGAAGGGGGAGACGGGCGGGGGTGGGAGAGGCATGGGGTGAGCCTTTTGAGAATTCTCAGAAGGAACATGGGGTGAGCAGGATGGTGAGCATGTGTGTTGTGAGGTACAAGTTACAGATCAGAATTCAGTTGGTATGTTAGGGGGGCTTGTGGGTGGGTGTGGGGGGGGGGGGGCTTTAGAGGAAACCAGGCAGAATCTCTGGCCCTTTTCTTTTGCCGATCTTTGGAGATTCTCAGAAAGCGTTCACATAGGAACCCCTGCTTTCCGTTTTGGAAACTCTTCTTCATTTCATCAGTACGTACAGAAGGATGGGTGTGGAATTTTGGAAGAATTAGCTGCTACGACACAGCCAGCCTCACAAGGCAACGTGATGGCAACGGAAGGCAGCAGATGAGCTCAAGGGATATGGTGTGAGTGCATGAAACGTCACAATCCAAACACCTTGCCCTCTCCTCTCCTCTCCTCTCGTCTCACCTCACCACATCTCCCTCACCCAACTTGCCCTCACTCTCTCCCACACACTCTCCTCTCATCTCATATCGCTCACCTTGCGGAGGCCCATCAGCACCACCATCGCCGAACGTCCCACTATACGTGGGCTCAAGCACACCAGACGCCCCCGGCGTTCCACCCATCGACCCACCACCACGACCACCAAAACTACCACCACCGCCACCGCCCATGCCACCCGCCACACTCCCTCCCCTCCTCGGGAACCCTCCGCCACCGTCCATGCTGCTGGGAGTGCTCGTGCCAGTACCCGGCCCCGAACCTCCGCCTCGTTGGAATCTGCCGGACTGGCCGGGGCTGATCTGGCCGGAGGCTCGGCCGGACGAGGCGGGGCTGCCGCTGTTGGAGACGGAGGAAGGCGCGTCGGCTTCCTTGGAAAGCACGAGCTTGCCGCCCTTATCTATCACACATACCGCCATGCCGTACGGACGGTACTTGGCACAGTATTGCCCCAAGGCCGATACCTTGGGCTTCCTGGGCGGGATAGGGGGGGTGGAAGGAAGGAGCGTGGAAAGAGATGTAAGGGGAGGGGAGGGAGGGCGGGTGGGAGGAGGAGAGAAAGGGAGAGGAAGAGGAGGTATGGGGAATTGTGGGTCTTTTGTTTGGCACTCCAGGCAAACCCTTCGAGTAGGGTTGAAAGAGGTGCGAAACGAGAGGGCAAAAAAAAAATGATAGCATAACACGTTTTCGACCAGTGCCATGACAAATCGACGGAGGTATGGGAAAATGTAAAAACAATATTAGAAAATAATATGAAACGGAGACGGAAACAATGGAGGCTGGGATGTAAGAGGCTGATGAAATGGAAATTTACAAAAAAAAGAGATCCGTGCACACGCTGTGCGTTATATTTTCAGGGGTTATCCGTTTAGGGATAACGAACGAGCTGAGGTGCAATCTTTTTTTTTTCCTGTTCTCAGTTATGAAATTTCAGTACGCGTTTTTTCATTAGAGACGAGCATGGGGCACAGGTCGTGTCAAGGAACAAAGAGAAGCGTCGTATAAAAAAGTATCCTGGGAGGGAGAAGGGGGCGCGAGGGGGAAGGGAATCCCGAAGGGGAAAGCCAAGAAGCAGGAAGGGGATTGCTTACGAGGAGAAGAGGGAGGAGCGGCCGTTGCTGCCGATAATGAGCGTGGTGGCGCGCAGGTTACGGGCTTCCTCCATAGTTCCCTTGTCGCGATGGTTGTTGCGCGACAGCTTCATTTGAACGTTCACCTGGTAGGCAAATTGCGAGTCGCAAGAAGCACGTTGCGCGAGAACGTGAGCGTGAGGGTGTTCGTGAGAGTCAGAGTGAGCGCGGGTGTGGAGAGCGTTTCAAGAGCGAGAGAAATAGGGGAGACGGGAAGGTCGGGAGGCACGCTGATGCGGGACGATTGAGGGAAACGAAGTGCAGGATTGCGAAACCGACGAGGGATTAATCCGTACAACATACGACTGGTAAGGTCGAACGGGGCCAGGCGAGCGAGGCAAGCGAGGGGAGCGAGAGGAGCGAGGGGAACGAAGTGAGCGAGGGGAGCGCATTACATGGGCGCTGATGGAGGACTTGAGGAGGGACATCATGGGCTGCACCACGGTGCGCACATAGTGCACGAACAGCGTGTTGTTCACCTCGCTCTGGTATATCTCCGTGCCCACTGCCGGGGGACGCGGGAACGGAGAGGATGCGTGGGAAAACGACTACATTAATTCTTGACATTGCCAAAATTCATTCCTGGTAATGATGATTAAAATATTCACCCTTCATTCCTGGAAAACGACTACATTAATTCACCCCTATTTTTTGAAGGCAAAAGGGTGAAGATTTTAGAGCGCAATGAACAGACCAAGGTATGGATTGCTAGCCGATTTGTGTGCACTTACTTGGTCCTGGTAGCCGCGAGACGACGTGGAGCAAGATAAGGACGTCGTTGGGAGAGCGAATCTTGTTAGCGACGGCCCATCGGATGGCCTCCTTCGACCCGTTATCCTTGCCGACCGCCACCACGAGTCTCTCGCACGGACAATCCATGTCCGACTGCATTGTGTGCCTATCTTGTCCCGATTCACGCGCTTAGATAACGTAGACACCTAAGAAGACTTTGAATTTCGCAGTACCACTGTACACCGGGAATGGTTACGCGTTAACACAACAGGATCGCACGCTGACACATGGCAGCCCGCAGCAGCTCCTGGAATTCTTTCGTTTTCAGACGATTCAAGGCTTGATGCTCCACCAGAAAACTGCATTAGCAGCCATGCCCGGCTTCTTGTTGCTCGCGTCGCGCCTCCGGAGTTTCAGCGATTATCCGCGGACAACACGAGGTAGGCTTAGCTTGGGGATAGGGAGACGAGGGAGAAACGCGCGTTTGAGATTGGGGCAATGCAGCTGCAAACGCGAAGAGCAGTTACGCGCGAAACAGCGCAGTTCAAGTGTTGTGTCGAGTGCGAGGAGGTGGTGGTTAAGTTACGGAGAAGCTACGAGACAGTGGCAGTATGCTTGACAGTGAACGGGGTGACAAGAACGGCTTATTCCGAAGTACAATCACGAAATGTCACATACATAACAGATCGACAAAACGAGAAACAAACAAATGGAAACAAAAACACGATGAAAAACAACACAGATGCGCTGCAAACTTGGTGGTCGCAGCCACTGAATCAGAAACAAAACGGTTCCGTCTTCACTGGAAATGGCGGCAATGCAGCAAGAAGACCAGGTAAGTACGGATGGAACGGTAACCAATCATTCGTCGTAGGGAATGAGAGAGTCGTTCTAGTGGATGAGTTAGGGGCGATGGATTTGGACATAGGGAGGTGCAAATGCTACATCAAATGTAGTGAACGGAAGGGATTTTGTAGATGGTAGCTGGAGGATTTCCTCGGCTGGTTTGGGGGTGTGCAGGTACGGTTCGTAACGAAGCTGTAGGGTGTTTCTTGAGCTTCATGAGTTAGAAGGCGCGGGAACGAGGTTTGGGCCTTGCCGAGCCAAGGACCAGGTTGCTGCTTTCTGGGTAAGTGAGGCTGACGTGGAGCAGCCAAGGCGGAGGTTCTGTTGTTGAGCAGGTGCTTCTTCCCCGCCCCGAGTCCCGCCTGCATCCAAGCGAACCAATTCAAGGCATTGAGTTTAGCAGTTAGGCTGGGAGCTCTGGTTTGGAGATGACCAACTGCCGCGTGTCGACCGTGTAGTGGCCCCATTTCAGGCACACGACACGGAACACAGTAAAAAGTGCCACATTACGATATATTTCCAAAGGAGAGACCGAGACCTCATTCTGAAACAAATCTATATTGTTCTGGGTCTACGGTGTATTCGTGGACCGTGTCAGACTTCAGGTCCAAAGCCCTTAGTCTCCAATTTGGCTCATCCGAACTCGGATTTGCCTTACAAACGACCCACTTCGGGTCTTCCGAGCCACCACTTCGGGGCTGACCTGAAGTCTGACACGGGCTACGAATACACCGTTAGACAGCAACAAGTGCATTTAGTTTCTGTAAGTTGGAAACATAACATACGAACTGCCCGCATGTTGCAATTCTGGTGAACCATTTGCAATGAATCTGCATTCATGAAACAACGGTTGGCAGGGAGTGGCGGCTGGTGCGCTAACTACCACATGAATTAACATACACCAAACGAGGACAGCTGTCTCGTCCCCAACGAAGCGCTGTTCCTCCCTTGCTTGAGAAATGGGGATGAATGAGATCATGGGAAGTGAGGACGAGTCAACAATGACCATTGTCAAATCCGGGATGGGGGCTCCTGTACTTCGGAGATGTAACCCGGGTCGTACTTTGCTCCCAGATCGCAGCTGTAGACGGGAGGAAGCCACCTGGAATCCGGAATTTCATACAGCTGTGTGAAGCCGAATTGAACATTTTCCAATCTGCGCTGGCTAACAGATGTGATTCCAGCCCTGATGCAAGCTTGCTTGGCGAGTGGCTCTTTGCTGGGTTTTCCATGACGCCAACAGGGTTCACTCCAAACTGGGTGTAGCCAACATGTGCCTCAAAGTTACTCTCTTGCAAATGTGTGCAGCCCGCCCCCGCCACACCACCACACCGCCGCACCGCACCGACCCAACCCATCCCCTCCACTCCCTTTTCTCCGAGGAAATGACGGATCGCCCTGTTTTCGAGTTTCCGATTCCTTTGGGCAGTGGCTTTGACACCGCCTTGCTTCTCCGCTCGCGTCCGATTCCTTGGGGCAGCTGATTTCGACATTTCCAATTTCCTGTGACCAGGAAAATTCTGAAGATTACCTGGTTTTAGTTTAGTGGCCAGTGGAAAAAATAAACCCCTCTCGGATGGCTGGCCATTTGGGAGGCATCAACCCTAAACACCTTGCCTCATGGTGTTTAGGGTTGATGTTTCCCAAATGGCATGCCCTCCATGAGGGGTATAAATTTTAGTCCCGAGCTTCTCGTAATTGACGCGACAATTCATTTATGATATCTCGATAAATAATCACAATATTAGTCTCTGGACTCGAAAAGGGGCAATAGCGTAAATAACTGACTGAAGGTATCAGACTCGAGCGCAAAGCAAGGCGGTGTCAAAACCACTGCCGAAAGGAATCGGAAATCCGAAACCAGGGCGATCCGTCATTCCCTCCTTTTCCCCCAGCCATTGACCACGAGAAGCTTGAGAAGAAGCTTCGAGTTCAGATCTCCGTTTGAAAAGGGAACGCGATACTGCGCATTGCGCAATTCAGGAGATAGGTACGATCTGTACGAACAAAAGAAAACATGTTACAAGAATGAAATCTTAGAAATCTCCTGCTTCACATCTCGCACCTGCAGCTGGACAAAAACATGAAATCAGTTATCGAGCTACAAGGTGAAACAAGTAGTTGCTAGCGCATCATTTCTGAATGTCCGCCACCCTACCAATGGCGCAGCTGCTACCCACCTCATCTAGTCTCTCTTACTCACTCGCGGCCCCTACGTCCGCTCGGGTCGACTCGCGGACATCCCGCACTACCTCGCACCACCTCTCGTCTCGCCGCATTCTCACGCTCTCTCCTTTTCCTGCGTCCTCCGCCCTCGACCGCAAATGCCGCGGAGAAAATCCACACCGAAGCCTCTCGATTAACGCGCAGGCCAAGTCACGCCCGCGTAAGCAGTCCTCCGCAAAACCCTCCTCAAAACCCTCGCCTTCATCCTCCGAAACTCGTTCCGTCCCTGCTGCGAAAGCCGCGCCGCCGCCTATCCCGCGCGTGACCCCGCCGGAATCCCTCGAGGATGCTCTCCGCCAAGCCGGCGAATGCGTGGCCGCCGCGATTCGCGCCGCATCTCGCGCCGCAGAGCCTATGACACTTAAGCAGCGCAAGCAGATTTCCGGCAAGGGGGGCAGCGGAAGGGTTGGGGGAGGGGGAGCGGCTTCCGCCGGCGCGCGCTTTCAGGTGGAAATTCCGCTGCGAGACGATTCCCCCAAGGTGCTGGCGGAAACGGCGCAGGACTTGGTGCGAAGAGCCGTTGGCCTGGTGCAATGGCGGGGGGGTGCGGGGAGAGGGGCGAGTGTAGGCGGAAATGCCCCCGCAAAATGCGCTGTGTCGCTTCTGTTCGGCCCTGCTGCTGCCGCCGCAGCAGCAGCCACTAATAAAGACCCAGCAGGAGCAACAGCAGCAGTGATCGAGTGGGGCATAGCTAGCTTAGATGAGCGGCCGTCAGTGCCTCGCGACGCGGCTCTCGTGTGCATAGTAGGCCCCACAGAGGCGCAAGCGGGGAAGGTCAGATCCGTGCTCAACAGCGCGGGAAACACGCCCGTTCTCCTCCTCAACCCCGCCTGGGCTTCCGCGCCCGCTGCCTCTGCCGACTCCGAGATTCCATCCTCGTTAGTAGCGGATTTTGTGAAGGAATTCGACGTGGTGTACTGCTTCATGCCGCTGGCCGTGCAGGGGCTGTTCGGGGGAAACGAGGGCGCGCTGATGCGCGTGGTGGTGGGAGCTGATGCGGGCGCAGGGGCAAGTGCGGGCGCGGGGTCGGGCGGTCCAGTGCCGTGGGTGCTACTGACGCAGAAGAAGGGCGAGAGTGCGATGAGGCCGCTTACCGCGCTGCCCACTCGCCCTGATGCGGAGAGGATTGAAACGGTGCTGTATGCTGCTGTTGCGAAGGACTCCCCCATTTCCAAGGGGGTCCAGTTTTTCAAAGCTATGATAGGCCAAGGAGGGGGGAAGGCTGTGTGAGTGTGTGCCCTTCTTTCAACTTTGTTCAGAATGTATGCATGTGGCAGGGGTGGCAGTGTGTGCATGCTGTGTGTATGTGTGTGTGTGTGTGTGAGTGAGTGAGTGAGTGAGTGGTTGTGCATAGTTGGCACGTTTGTAGAGTCTGTGGTAGTGTTGGCTGGCCGCAGTGATTTTGATTCTGCTTGGCAAACTCTCTTGAATTCAGGATTGACCAGGTAGCTGTGGAGTAGGGGTACAAGATGACAGGTACTGGGAGGGTCTACACGCTTTTGGGCAAATTACTGATCAAACTGGTGGTGGTGGTGGTGGTGGACTCCCTGTTACATAATGTGCAAGACTCCCTCTGCATCTTGCCTCCTATATAATAACTCGCTGTGATGCTGATCTGACCCACATTGAGAAGCGATAGTAAACAGCACCTAGACATCCACCAACAAACAGTGCAGCTGTCTCCTGTAAATCATGCGCCAAAATAGGCGGATGCAAAAACAGCAGTGGCTGCAGCACTGAAGGCAAGGAGAGGGGCGGCGGGCATGGGCTTTCCTGTAAGGAAAAGGCGGATGGCTGAGGGGCAGGGGCGTGAGCAGTGGGGAATTGGGGTGATGGTTGTGGTGAGAATGGTGGTGGGGAAAGAATGGGTGGGGATGGTGGAGTCAGGTGTGCAGAGGAAAAAATGCACCTACTTCAGATCAGATCAGAGTACTTCCATATGGAAAGAAGAATCTTCCAGCGAAAAAAAAGGTAGCTAGCAACATAGCATAGACAGGGGGGCGGCATCTCAGGAGAAAAGAGAGTAGAGTGTGCCGGGAGAAAATGGGGAGAGGGGGAAAGAGTGGGGCGGGGGAAGGGGGAGGGGGGGGAGCGGGGGCAGCTGGGAGGAAAAGAAGAGAGTGTGCACATTGCTTTGTGCAAGGCGACTGACCAAAGAGGGCGCAGAAGAGCAGTCCAGCACCAAAGCCAAGGGCGTTGCCCAGGGACTCCGTCTGAGCGCTCTGAATGAGATAGAAGGCCTGTGCATGCCATGCACGACGGAGGGGAGGGGTGGGGGAGGGGGTGGAAGAAAGGGCGCATCCAAAAGGGGAATCTATCAGTGTGGGAAGAGGCTGCGTCAGAAGAGTTAGCAAGCATCGAGAATTGCTTGTTTCAGACTAAGTCTCGGGAATTGGTGCCATCGCCCAACCAGCGTGGCTGCATGGATGACTTGACTGAGTTGACTTGTCTGGTGCAGCCACGCTGGCTGGTTGTGTGGTGACACTTTGCCAGAGCCAAACGCGCTTCGGAAGGCCAGGGCATGGAAAGGATTGGCATGGAAAAAGCAAAGCAATAGCTGGAAGGAAGGGCAAACGCTGCTTCAATGATTGGTTCCGCTCCTCACTGCTTCAATTCAATCAACTTTAACGCACCGTGGCGAACAGAGCAGCGCCCGTCAGCCCGCCTCCCAGAGAGTACTTGCTGCCCGTGCGGAGGTCTGGGGGGTGACGGGATGGCAAGAGACGCGGAGAAGGCAGGGGAAGCGGGGGAGGCGGGGGTGGAGGGCAGGAGAGGGGGGAGCGGGGGCAGATTTGGGGACGCAGGGCGCGAAATGTTACGGATTCGGGACCGCAGACCGACCGAACGCCAATCAAGAGACAGATAAACAAATACATTTTTCCAGACATGCGAGCAGCTGAGCGCCTGGCGCGCCGCTCGGCGCGCAGCTCACATGCGAAGAGGCCGCCGAACAGCAGAGAAGCGCCGTACGCAGCGGCCGTTAACCCCGCGGCATCTCCCAATCCCGCCGTTGCAGTCATCGCCCCTCCGCCGCCTCTCCGCACGGGCTTAACCGCTCCCCTGAGAGATCCCGCCGAAAGCCCGTGCGGGGGAAGCTGCACGGGGGATCCGCGCAGCCACGCGGAGCCTCGTGGCGCAGCAGAGGCGCGGCGGGTCGCGGAAATGGAAAGCGGGGAGGCGGACGCTGAGGCGGACAGGGCTCCGTTTGTGACGGCACGGTTTCCGACGGAGTAGCTGACGATGGAAGAGAGGCCCGCGGAAGCGGCAGAGAGAGCCATGGCGATGGGGAAGATACGCGAGCGAGGCGAAACAGGCGCGAAAGCTTGCTGGCGGGCGAGGATTGATTGGGAGGAACGGATTCGAGGGATTTGTAAATTGGGGGGGATCCTGCGGAGAGATAGGTGTCGCATGTTTGCTTACACGCACATTGCGCAGAAGGGGGGAAAGTGGCTTAGGGGAAGGGGGGGAGTTGAATATTCGATCGCATACGGAGTGCCTCGTTAACAAGCCATGGTTTGTGGTGTGCACCATGCGCTTTTACACGAGTGAATATCCAGGAGAAATCACAATGCGCTTCATCAATCCACCACAGCCCTTCAAAATGGCCAGTTGTACACACTTACACTTCGTTCTGGATCCAACCTTTGACCACTACGACTACTCCTTTCACTGGCACCGAGCTGGATAATATACGGTATTAAAAAGAGACTAGTACGGTTATACAATTGAATGGCATCATTTGACAACAATGGGTGTGTAGCATTAGCGAAGTAAATGACGTCGAGGAGGCTTGACGACGCCCGTGGTAAGTGTTGCGATCAGGTTGATCGTCCGTAGGATCACCTCATGAAGGTTCGCACACGTCCGAGTAGTGGTGGTGGGCCCTTGACCTCAATAACAGAGTGGATGTAAAATGCTTGAGATAATAAAAACATGCAAGTACTGGAATATAAATAAGAGTACAAGAGATATCGAATCGACCTAGGCTAGCCATGTACTCTAAGGGGTACATTCCCTTATTGCAGCGAAACTCAACCGTGCGACTTCGGACGGTTACAAACTGCTTGGGCAGAATCCTCGCCTGCCCGACGGTCCAGATCCTTTCGTAACCGTACGGCCCATCGCGTTACTTCTGCCTTTTCGTCTTCAGCCTTGGTAGTGCGTGCCTCGATTCCTGCGGTAAGGAGTGCACAGTAATGTTTCGTTAATCACTATTCGTAACACCCCCCTTCACTCCTGGCCGTAGCGAGTTTTAACCCGCTTGACTACTCCGCAAAGCTCGGAGCAGTGTTGGTACTGCTGACGTGACAATCGCTTCGTGAGGAAGTCAGCTGCCATGTCACCCGTCAGGCAATAGGTGAGGTCAACGGTCAACCTTACCCTTGTCAACTTCGTCCTTGACAAAGAAGTACCGCAACGCGATGTGTTTGGTGCGGTTGACGAACCCGGGCTTGTTCGCGATCCTGATCGCACTCTGATTGTCACAGTGCAGGCGAAAGTTCGTCGAGGCTGGAATTTTTGCCTCCTGCAGCAGTTCCTGAAGGTAGAGGTCTTCGCGAACGGCTGCTGTTGCTGCGATGAATTCGGCTTCTGTCGACGACAGGGCAACCAACTCCTGTTTTTGCGAATTCCAGGAGATGGGGCCGCTGGGCTCGAGGCGGAAAAGGAAGCCTGTCCTGGACCGTCGATTGTCGGGGTCAGCAGCATGATCAGCGTCCACGTAACCGATGAGGTTGAAGGACGTGGTTGGGATGGTGGAGTAGCAGAGCCCAACATTGGGCGTGAAGATAAAGAATTGAAGTGCCCGCTGTAGATCTACCAGATTCTCAGCCGTTGGTTTGCGAGAGTACTGAGCCAACTGACTCGCGATGTACGAGAGATCAGGCCTGCAGGTAACAGAAGCGCAGAGTAGGCATCCCAGCTACTGCTGGTAGGTCTGAAGTCCAGCGGGGGACAGGGTTTTGTTGTCAGGCTTGTGGTTGGGTCCTGGAGTGCGGTAAGGGGTGGAGAGTGGTGCAAGTGCAATGTTGAAGCGCTTGCCAAGTTCCTCTGCGTACTTGGCTGCTGAGAGATGAATGGCTTCTGGCGAGTAGGAGATGTTCAGCCCGAGAAACTGCTTCACGTCGTGGTTGCAGGTGATGTCGACGCGCCCGGCGAGACTTTTCTCAAACTGCTCTAGTAGTTCGTTGCTTGATCCCGTGTAGAGAAGGTCGTCGACGTAGACCATGAGCAGAATGTATTCGCCGCGGAAATCGCGGCGATACATGCCGGGATCATGAGGCAGCTGCTTGAAGCCTATCTCAATCAGGATGTTGTGCAGGTACTGCTTTCAGAGCCTTGGCGCCTGTTTAATCCCATGAAGGGACTTTCGCAGCTGGCACATGCGTGTGTCTCCCTCGCCGTATGTGTGCGGCTGGTCCACATAGATTACAACATCTACTAACGTGTAGAGGAGCGCGTTCTTCACGTCAATCTGCTGGAGCGGGAGATGTCATGCGGCAGCGATGGCGAGGAGGATTCTGACAGAGGTATGACAGCTGACCGGCGCAAACGTCTGGTCGAAGTTGATGCCGTGCCTTTGGTTGTAGCCATGTGCGACCCAGCGCGCTTTGAATCGTTCAATCGTGCCATCCGCTGCGGTCTTCACGCAAAACACCCATTTCCCGGAGAGAATCCTTCTCCCCTTGATTGCCGCTCAATCGACGAGCACCCAAGTGTCGCGGGACATTTCCGCTTCCATCACCTCGCGCCATTCCTTGCTGTGTGGTCCTGTGAGTTCTTGGCGCGGATTTTTTGGCTCGATGACACGTGGCGCCGTTCAGGTGGTGGTGTGGAGCCCGAGAAGTTGTAGTCAAGAGACGGTGCTATCGTGGCGATGCTGCGGGATGACCTTCTGCACATCATCATCATCGCTTTCTGGTTCAGGTGGTGCTGGCAATGTTGCGCCTCTGCTGCTTCCGCTCCCGCCTCTGCCTGCTGCGCCTGCTCCTCCTCCACGGGAATCGTCATCGTCGTCGTCGCTGCGGCGATCGCCTCTTGTGAACTCTCCTTTGGTGTCCTGCTCCATAATGGCTGTTGCAGCTTCGTCCTCATGTGAGGCATAGCTGTGCTTGTCATTGACGTAGACGCGGTTCGCGTTCGCCTACTCGTCTTTGCGAAATTGCCGAAGGAAGAGCCGCTCGTAGAAGATAACATCGAGTGCCTTAGTTATCTTCTGGCTCGTAAGGTCCAGGATGAGACATGCCTTGTGTTCGCGGTTGATGCCGAGATGAATTCCCCAACGCGCACGGCTTGCGAATTTCCCGATAGTTGACGTTGGCGCGCGGTACTACACCATGCATCCCTACACGCGGAGCATGGATGTGCCGCCCTTGGTCCCCGTCCACTTCACATGTGGCGATGAGTTGCCAGTGATGGCTGTGGTTGAAAGCAGGTTGTGCACCCGCACGGCGTAGTGCATTGCGTAGATCCAGTAGGTTGACGGAAGCTTCGATTGCTTCATCAAAGCCCGCACCTTTGTCATGAGCGTACGGTTCGTGCGCTCGGCTTGCCAGTTCCTGAATTCCGTTGCGTACGGTTCCGTTGCTCCTTGGCGCAGAAGGCGCAAAGGAGTACTTGTACCCTTCTGCGCCAGGTAATCCTGCATCTCCTTGCTCCTGAACTCCGTTGCGCCATCAGATTTCCAGATTTTCAGTTTCTCCCCGGATTGCCGCTACGCGTGTGCCAACCAGAGGAGGAACACTTTGTACGCTCTGCTACGCGCCTCCACGTTCACGATCCAAACGTAACGTGTTCCGGCATTGACGAAGGTCAGCGTATACATTTCGTCGTTGATTCTGCAGTGCCTCATGTTGAGGAAGTCATTGCAGACCTTCTCTAGTTTGGCGTAGCGGTTGGTTCCAGGCTCTAGCAGGGGAAACGGTTGGTGACTCAGCGCAGCATTGGGGCAGACGGTGTAGTTGCACGGATGTGTCACGCCTCCCACTTCGGTGCCATCAGGGCGCAGGAGTGAGCCGGGCGCAAACACGCCGGCCTCGATGCAGTTCTTCAGCGTTAAGCTTCTTCGTAGAGTCGCGCTGGTGAGAGTAGATCTCCAAGTATTTCTCCTTTGTGTAGGGTCGCGGAACTCCGTGCGCATAGAAGGTGCCGACGTCGGTGCCGCGCAGCATGCCCCGAAGGTGTTGCGATGCAGTTCTAGGGAGGGGGGTTTCCTCCATGCCGAAGACGACGTGCATGGCGGTTTCAAGCTCCACGGTGGACAGTCCTTCTTCAGGCGGTATTTCCTGCTCTGTTTCGGCGATGGCGGCAAGGGCACGGCCGGCAATCGCGCTCGTTGAGGCTGTGGGCGTATGGCAATCTCTGCAGATGCTATCAGGGTCGGGGTCGTGCAGCACCAATTCGCGTGGGTGAGGGTGATGCGGCACCCACGGTCTTCCGTCTGGATGTTTCCAGTCACGGTGGTGAATGTGTTCGAAGCGCAAGGGGACGAGGTCGATGAGCTCCTGCGAATCACCGTTGAAGTCGGGAATGCTGAAGTCGAGGATGTAAATGTAGTTTTCGGAGTGCGCTCGCCCGATCTGCTTGCGCGTCTTGTTCGGCATCGTGTAGTGGAGCAGGATGTCGCATGTCTCGGGGCCGGTGCTGAGGTCAACTCCACAATCCATGAGTTGCGCCGCCGAGAGGAGATTGAAACGCAAATTCTCCACGATCAGCACGCCGTTCAGCGTGACGTGCATCCTGCTCCCTTGGGCCTTGAGCACCACGATTCCTTGCGCGCTTGCGCGTAGGCGCGTGTTTTTCGCCACCGTGACATAGGTCACGGTGGGGGTGGGGACGGTGTTGGATATGTAACGCCCAGAGCCCACCATATGCTGCCCACAGCAACTATCCAGGTACCACGTGTTGTAGCGCCTGTTGTCGTTACGTGCGATTAGCGCCAGTCATGGGGTAACGATGTGTGGTGTGTCAAATTTGAGGAATTGCTCGTGCGAGATCCAATCGATCGGAGCCGCGCGCTGATCAGGTATATGCGGGGGACTCTCAAGCAGCGGGACTGGGAGATTCCAGTCCTGCTCGTCACCGTCAGTGAAATCGTGGCTCGTGCTGAACGGATTGTTGTTCGAGAACGCTTCGATTGGCTGGCGTGCTGGCTACGGTGATGGTGAGCGTGCGCGGGGACGACGGGATCTGCTCGTCATTGTCATGTTGCCCATGACATTACGGACGGGGGCAGTCTGTGGCGACTGCTGCTGCTGATGCTAAACTGTTGGGTTCAGGT